ACCATCAGCCTGATCCCTCTCCAGATGTTCTATTTAGACAACTGCAGGCATACGCTGTCCTGTAAAAACAGATAGAAGACGCAGTCTCCCAACCCACATGGTCAGCGCAAATATCATAGATGGGACTTGCACGACGAGGCAGAACAAGGTGGTTACTGAGGATGAGGAGATCAGAGTCATAATCTTTATAGAAAAGGATGGAGACGAACCATCTCGCTGAGTGAATCACGGAAGCCATGTGAATTGGTTCAAAGGAACAGCAACCCTTGCTCTGAAAGAGTTGACAGTCAAGATAAAAGTAAATTTTGGTTTTATTTTTACTTGCATACAGCCCTGAAGCAGTAGCAATCATTTCCTCTCAGCTCTGGGCAACGTACAAAAGAGGCTCGGACTTGTGCGAGCCAACAGCTGTAGGTCTACATCAAGCACCATCGCCAGGATAGCAACACTCTGCTCAAGTGCTGGAATTCTGCGCCAGGAATCAGGACTGCTGCCAGGTGATGTTAGCCTGACCCCCCAAAAAGAAAAGCAAAGTGGATTTTCCAGCTTCCCAGGGCCTACATCCAAGATGAAGAACTTCACCTTCAGGCAGAAACTATGATGTAGTACCCAGCTGCCAAACAAGCTCCTTGTTAATGCCAGCATTATCACCAAGGCAGTCTCCATCACAAGGAATTTAGAAATAATGGCACATTTCCTCCTAAAGCGTACTCTGACGGACATGTCACACATTCAGGGTAGAAAAAGGCCACGGTACAGAGCTCCCCAACTGAGCTTCCCTGAATTAAAAGGTAAGGGAAAAGGAGGACTGCTTCTGACTTGTACTGTACGTATATTGGGTTCTAGCAACACTGCAAAGTTCACTCTTAATTATAATCTGAATTGATGGGGCCCTTTGAACACTTGAGATAGGGAAATCCACACAAAAAAACCACCCCAAACCTCACCTTAGGTAGGCGCAGTGAACAGATCCATACCAGGAGCATGAGCGCAGCTCAGTACTGCAGAGAAGGAAACATTCATCTCGTGTGCTGGGACAAGTCACATCGCAAGAGCGAGGTAAGAGGGGAAAAGAGAGGCTGCAACGTCAAATTGTGCTGCAGGCTATACCAGACCCCTTACAAAATATCTTGCTTTAGTCAAACATTTTGAACCGGTAACTAAAATTGTTTCTGTTCCAGTTCAGATTCACTCAAGATTTCCAAACAACAACTCGGACTGAGTTAATCAACCCTCACTTTCAGTATGGAAAAAACAACCCAAACCCAAACAAACTATAACTGAAACCAGTTACAACCTGACTGGTTTGATCTCACTTGCACATCTCTCTTTCTTCAAAATTAGAAAATGCCACATGAAAAATCCACGAGACGCGACGTTAGTTTCCCAAGATCATTTCTACAGCAAGACATTATGCTGAAGAACCTAAAATGAACAAACCTCTCGTATTATTTAAGAAGATAAATGAGCATCAAGTTCATTAGCAGCCCAACAAGTATGTACACAATAAAATCAACAGTCTCTTAGATTATAAGCAAACATGATGCAGGCTGTAGGTACAATAAGTCAGCCAGCAGCGGCACTGAGCCAGTGATCATACAGATCCTAGAAAAAAGCACCCGTTCTCAGCAGCTTACAGTCTAGATAATCTCGTCTTTTCCCAGTGGACATTTATTTCTTACTAGACAGCTGCACACACTACAAAGAAATGTTAAAAATCAACCGGCCTATAAGAAACACAATCGTATCTTCAAACAAACCTTTTTTAGGATGCCGTTTTGGATATTCTGTAGCCACTGGCAACGAAGAAACCTGAAAAGACAGAAAAGAGGAGTATGAAATACACCAGGCGAGGTTTCTTGGAGATCTCTTCCATGAAATAATCAGAAAGGACAACGGGCAAATCCCAAAAGAGGGCATAAAAATAGCATTGTTGCTGCTAGACAAACTGCCCTGCCAAGCGCTGGTCTTCCCTAGCCATAGCTAAAGAGAGATTTCTGTTTGCCGCGTAGATTAAATAAACGCACACATTTTACGGTACATCCTTGTTCTGTAGGCTCACTGCCATTTATTAGGATCCTAGAAAGTGATCATTACCTTGTAAAAAAACAAAACTCAAGCATTTAAGATGCTAATTAGAGATCACACAGGAAAATGTCAAAAGCGTTTCTTATAGAACATTTATAAAGTTAATTAGAACAAAGGCGTTCCTGGGGAACCATCAGAGTCCGCAGGAGCACGAGCGCAGCGACGTCCCATCGCACGGTGGGCAACAAACCTCGACCTGCAAATATTGCCCAGAGCTCACGGACAAGCAGGTACCCAGTCCGTGGAAAAGAAACGCATTTTATACTTTTTTTTCTCACTTTGCATCAAAAATCAAGCCTTCACAGAAGAGAAACGTGATTACACAGGGAAGCATTTTTACTTTTGACTTCCAGTTCCTTGGGGAAGAGACATTCCTCACTCCTCTTCCCCGGACACAACACAGGATTTTATAGATCTGTGTCGCCTCCCCCCTCCTTAATAAACAATCTTTTAAAGCGGAGATTCAGTCTACCCTTATTCCTTGTAATGTTCTGGTAACATTTTCTCCTTCTACTCTCATTTTTTGTTGGAGGTGGGGAGGACCAGAACTGCGTACAGTATCTGAGACACGGAAACACCCCAGATGTATGCAGGAAAGGCTTTTACCAGCTTTGTTTCTTAATAATTTCTAACATTCTATACAACTTTCTGTTTCCTGTTGTGAAAAGCTGAGTTGATACTTTCACAGAATTACCTGGCTCCAAGAACTCGTTCCTAAGCAGCAATAACCAGCACAAAGCCCTCATTGTTTTTATATATTTGCAATTTTTTTTTTAATCTGTACACATCATTCCAATTCTGAGTCCTGTCACTCGGCGCTGTTAAGACCTTCCCTGTAGTTTCTCGTCTTTACTCCTCACCCGAATAACTTTCTGGCCACCCTTTGGTCCAGACCGTTTCTAGACCCACTGAAGAGCAACACAGCCTTGGTACCGATCCCCGCAGGGCTCCCTTAACGACCACTTTCCACCACAAAAAAAGAGCATTTATTCCTTCTTTCTGCTCCTCAGCTTTCAATCAGCTACTTATCCGTGAGAGGATGTTTTTTTTGCCTTATTCCGAGCCCATTTATTTTCCTTTAGAGCACCTGACAGTAAGAAGTCGGGCCGCGGGGCGCAGCCCGCTCAGCCGGCAGACCGGGGGCCACCTTGCAGGAGCGCCAAACGCAGGGGGAAGAGCGAGCTGTGCTGGACGCCGGGAAAGGCTCCGGTTTCACTACGTTACCCCAGTAAAGGCCAGAATAAGGCTGGACTTCCATTATGTTTTCAATACCGAGCGTGCAAAGGTTAAAAACTCGCTCTCAAAAGCAGCTCC